CACTAACTCCAAATCTACAGCAGCAGGCGTCGTCAGGGTCGGGTTTGAACCCACGACCTCCTGTAGCCGAGTCCTTGACCTGTACCACCGGTCCTTGTGTGCCAGGCTTTTTAGCAGACAAGGACCAGCACACAAACCTCCCCCCCTGCTCCTCTCTCCAGCATCTGGGGCGCCGCGGTGGCTTGGAGATGTTGACTACCTCGCCTGGTGTGCAGGAGCTCGTGGGTTTTTGCAGCTTGCATTTTCTCACCCCGTGGTCGCGTGGATTTTTCTCCGGGTCCTCCGGTTGCCCCCTCCACATTTAGAATGGACGTCACCACGCGTTCAGAGTATTTAGCTCCTGCTATAAATGTCCACACGGTGACCATAAGCCCACTTCGTCGTCATTTATGATCGCCAGGTCGCTAATGAAGCTCAGTGGGGCCTTGGTAAAAATCCACGCGACCACGGGAAGAGAAAAGAATGAAAACCTGTTGATCTTAGATTCAACATCACCCATTTGGAGTATACGGCCACTCTATAAATATTGAGTTATTTTCCTCTCGGAAGAAACGCTCACGACTCGACGCCTAGTCGGTGTTTGTGGTCGACTTTTTTTATTATTAACGTCCGAATAAAGTTTACAAAAGACGGTTTTAGTCCCCCCCCCCTGACGAGGCTCACGGTGCCTCTGCCACCTCCCCGCCGACGCTGCACGTCGGCGTCGACTCTGCGGGGGACGCACGGACGGGCGGAGAGGAGCCGTTCTCAAGACGCTCGGGCGACGCGCAAACATTGGCCCCTGGGTAACGTGCGCTGTGCGGTGCAAAAGCCGACAACCTCCACCACCACCCCCCAAAGCATTCACTCAACTCTGCGCCTCAGTTCGTAATCGAGGTGTGTTGGGTTGGATCGTGTAAGTATGCAATGTTGCGTCATAACCCTCCGCCACCCGACACAGCCAATTAGTAAGGGATTTGTCACGCGAACAACAAACCGCCAATTAGTTACCAGGATAGTGTAGTGTATAGTGTAATAGAGTGTAGTGTATAGTGTAGTGTATAGTGTAATAGAGTGTAGTGTATAGTGTAGTGTATAGTGTAGTGTAAAGTGTAGTGTATAGTGTAGTGTATAGTGTCGTATACTACTTCGGCCCACCGGTGTGTTGGAGAGTAAATCCACAACATCTTGAGTAATTACAACCAGCATCATCGGGCGAAATGCCAGAATAGTGAAGCAATCCACCTACTTCCGGTCTTAAATAGAGCAGGACGTTGATCCTATTCATCATTGATCCTATTCACTGGGGGGTTGGTGGTGATCCTATTCCTGAACGGTAAATTCTCGAACGGCCCCTCACCGAATTCCTCGCATTTTCTCAGTGACGGTTTCGACCCGAAAGAGTTTTCATCTCGTCTAAAAAAAAAGAGTCTCCATCTCTCACCCAATATCGAGCTCGCAACTTCATCTTGCACAGCAGCAACAACCTTTGACCAGACACGGGAACATGATCCGGCTACACGGGGAAGCCTTGGACGGCGGCCGGCTACTGTCGGCCGACCCGGAGCTCACCTCTCAACAGGATACCCAACGTATTATTCTATAAATAATGACAATCATTGTATCGATGAGAACCCATTCAAGTCTCGATTGTGACGTTAACCAAGTTATCTCGAAGCGAAGGCTCGCCAACATTCCGTATCGCAGCAGACCAGTGCCTTGATTTAGGGAATAGCCCCATGATGCAACGCCAGGCACCCGCAGTAACTTGTCAATGTCATTTCAGCAGGCATCTCATACAGCGCCTGACGATGCAAAATTGAATGTATAAATACAAATAGGCCTTTTGTTTAACCCACAGTGTGGCTGGGCTAAAGCCAGAAACCCTGCTGTACAATAGTGACATGGCTCGATAATAAATAATCATGGGTGACTCTCTCTGCTCTTGACACGGGCGAAGAAAACAAAGAGCCCTGTGTAAAACACTCACGGCCCAGGGCTTGAGCCCAAAACACTTAAAACCAGAGACGGATCCAGGCCAAAGATGATTCCTAGAGGGCATTAAGGGTGATGCGCGATCGTGACTCGTGTCAGATAGGTTTCTTGTCTCGGTTGGGCAGTTGTAAAACCTGTCCCGCCCGCCCCGCCACAATACGCAAAGGGAGGGCTTCTGGCTCCACCCTTCTGATAATTCCTAACCAGGTTGAAACCGGTACTGCAGCAGGAAGTCCCTCCCATTTACGTCGCGTTCCCGCTTTGCGTCGTTTCGCTGGGGCTGGGACGACGACGCTGACGACGACGCTGCCGACGACGGTGACATCGTTTCGCTGGAATGTCGGCAGCGGCGGAGGTGGCGACGTTCTAGCAAAGCGACACAAGGCGGGAGCGCGACGTTAAACGGAGGACCGCTCGCTGCAGCACCGGTTTCCTAACGAGGTTGAAACCGGTACGAAGCCGACGACGACGCAGTTTCGCTGGGACGTAGTCGACGTTCTCAACGCCGACGACGATGTTGACGCCGACGCCGAATCGGGGAACGTATTTCCATTTGCAAAACTAAAAACATGCATCGACTTTCCTGCGACGTTGCTTTTGAACAACAGAAAGAGAAGCGTGGGCAGTGTAACGACGCCCACACCCCCCCTAGCGGGCGCTCAAGCCCTCGGTTGTTTACAACATTGCCACACTGTAGACTGACGGCACACTGTACAACATCGCCGTACCGTGCACCGCACATTGCCACACTGTACGCGACGCATTTCCACGCGGCACACTGTACAGCATCGCCATACCGTACCCTGTTGCAACATCGCCGCACTGTACACTGTTAGACATCGCCATGCCCAATATCGTGTCACTGTCCACTGTACATCGCCACACTGTACTGTACAGCACCATACTGTGCACTGTACAATGCCACGCTGTACAACAGCGCCATACTGTGCACTGTACATCGCCGCGCTGTAAAGTTCCATTCCCAATCACCCCACACCAGGCCTCTAACATGCAACATCTTTACCGGGTATCTTCTGTTCTCTTTTTGTTGCTGTTGGCCATTTCATCGTCCTCTGCGCATTTCTAACCGGCAAACGACCCCGCAGGAACGCATCCTAAATTTACGCCGTTAAGCCAATGGTAAAAGAGAGAAAAAAATTGAATTTCGATTTAAAGCTTTCGTGACTGCAATGATTCATCTTCTTTGGTTCTTTCGGTAAAGTCACGTAGAATGAGAATAAAATAATAAATTGATAAAATAAAATAACACAATAATATTCTCACGACGTTTCGGCCACAACACAAGCGGCCTTCATCAGGTGAAGGGACGAGACTGTCTGGTAGGACAGCGCTGGAGACAGTCTCGTCCCTTCACCTGATGAAGGCCGCTTGTGTTGTGGCCGAAACGTCGTGAGAATATTATTGTGTTATTTTATCAATTTATTATTTTATTCTCATTCTACGTGACTTTACCGAAAGAACCAAAGAAGAAAAAAAAATTGGGTTTCGATTCGCGCCGTTTCGCCGAACGTCGTGGTTTTCCAGGGGACGCATCCCCAACGTGAAAGGAGGGACTTTCCGTACAGACGTCTCCCCGCTGCCGTCGGGGAAACTATAACCCTGGCCACGGCGTTTCACACTTTTCTAAGAACGAGGCGCTCGATAGCGAAGTCCGCATGCGTTCGTTCTGCGCGTGCAGTGTGGTGACGGCAACGTCACGTGACGCGCGGGGCATTGTGGGAGGGAGCGAGCGAGCGAATGATCGCCCTCGCGCCTCGTGCCCTCTTAACAAATCACATTTCGCGCGCGGTTTTTTTTACCCTTCCCTCGTTTCCAGCCGGCACAAACTCGTCTGTCCTTTGAGGAATCTTTCTCGTCGTTTTACAAAAGGCTTTAAAGTCGTTTTTTTTTCGTTCGACGGCCCCACGACTTGAACCCGCGTCCTCTGTAAAAGGTTCCGACTCTGACACGACCACCGTTAGCCAGTTGGAATAAACAGAGGAAAATATACAGACCCCGGGATTGAACCTGTGAGCTTCGAGGTCCCGGCTCAAGTGTCTATGAAACGGCAATTACGGTGGCGAGATGTTAACTACCTCGCCTGGTGAACAGGAGGTCGCGGGTTTGATCCTGATCCTGATGCCTACTGTATATTTGGGGGTTTGCACGTTCGACCCCGCGGTCGTGTGGATTTTTCTCCGGGTCCTCCGGATTTTCCCTCCACTTTTAGAATCGACGTCACCACGCTTTTACAGTATTTGGCTGCTGTACATTTCCACACGACGACGATGACGACGATGAGCCACTTCGTTGAGCTATCACTTGCGATGGCAAAGTCACTTATGACATGGCCAGCAGCTCAGTGGGCCTTGCCTCGTAAAATAAAATAGTTGAGCTTTTAGTTTCCAAGTCCTCTGAAGAGACATACCCAACCACAGGACTTGGACGCCAGACTCTAAACCTCCGCGACGGATCTACGGTCCTAGGTGGTCTTTGCGAATCCTCTGAAATACATCCGGCCGGCACCTGGCTTCGAATCCAGCGGTCTCAGCGTCCCCGGCTCAGTGTTCGGACGAGGCCATCAGCACCCACCGGGCTCGGATCCGGCGGCGGTGCCGCCAGCGGATGCCGGAGAAATCCGCAGAGTGGCCGAGAGAGACGAGATAGACGAGAGAGAGTTTAACATGTAGGCTTTCGCGACCAATATCCATAACGTAGGTTTTTTGGGTTCAGATCGCGTAAATATATGTGTCATTAAACCCGCCACCACCCGACACAGCCAATTAGTAATCTGGCCGTTGCCTGATGATGCCGGTTGTAATTACTGGCAAAACGTCAGGGCACTCAGATTGTAGATGTTGTGGCTTTGCTCTCCAACACGCCAGGTCAGTGCTGTTCCAGTAACGAATTGGCACGTTCTGTTAACGTGACAAACCTCAGCGACACATTTATATACTTACGCGATCCAACCCGACAAAACCTGCATTACGGACGAGAGAGAGAGCGGGAGGGTAGAAGCAACGTTCCTACGACTTGGCACTGTCGTGCGAGTGGCAGTGCTTCTTGTAGCTGGCGAGCAGCGAGAAGCTGCGGCCGCACTCCTGGCACACGTGGGGCCGGGCGCGAGCGTGCGTGTGCGTCATCTCGTGCCGGCGCAGCCCCTCGATGTCCGCAAAGCCCTCGGCGCATTCCTGGCATCCCAGCGCCCCCCCCCGAGCCGCCGCCGCCGCCGCCGCGCCCTCTCCGGCCGCCCGGTGCACCGCCTTCCGGTGCTTCCGGAGCGCCGCGACGTTCGGAAACTTGCGGCGGCACTCGCGACAGGCCTGCGACCGCTGCCCGGCGTGCGTGCGCCGGTGCTTGCGGAGGCTGCAGGTGCGCGGGAACGTGCGGCCGCACTCCCCGCACGCGTACGGCCGCTCGCTCGAGTGCGTGAGCTGGTGCCGCCGCACCGCCTTGGCGTCGCCGAACACCTTGCCGCACTCGGCGCACGCGTGAACCGTCGCGGCGGCCGAGGCGGCGACCTCGTGCGCCCGCAGGTGCGCCTCGAGCGCCGGCGCCGTCGCGAAGTGGCGGCCGCACTTGGGGCACGCGTGGGGCAGCCGCCTGCGGGCGCCGCTCGCCGCGTCGCCCCCGTCCCCCTCGGCGTCGCCGGCGACGGGGGGGGCCGCCGCCGCCGCCGCCGCCGCCGCCGCCGCCGCCCTGCCCGGTCGGGGCGGCGTGCGTCTTGGCGTGCTCCCGCAGGTTGCACGGCTGCACGAAGCGGCGGCCGCAGTCGGGGCAGGCGTGCGGCCGCTCGCCGGTGTGCGTCATCAGGTGCTGGCGCAGCTGCGACGTCCACAGGAAGGACTTGCCGCAGTGGGCGCAGGCGTGCGTCAGGGCGCCGGCGTGCGTGCGCTCGTGTTTCCACAGGTTGGAGCGGTTGGAGAACGTGGCGCCGCAGTCGGCGCACGCGTTGGAGCGCGCGCCCGTGTGCGTGTCCTCGTGCTTGCGCAGGTCCGAGCGGCTCATGAAGCGCTTGCCGCACTCGGCGCACGCGTGCGGCCGCTCGCCCGCGTGCGACTTGCGGTGCTTGTTGAGGTTGGAGACGTTGGAGAAGCCCTTGCCGCACTCGTCGCACGTGGTGCTGCGCTCGCGCGTCCGCCGCTTGCGGTAGGCCCGCTTGGGCCGCTCTCCGATGAAATAGGCCCCCCCCGGTAGGTCCGGCGGCCTCTCCGCGGGCCTGGCGGTGACTGCGGTCACAGCGGCGGCAAAGCGTTAAAGTCGTGGGGTGCCGCGGTGGCGAGATCTTAACCGCCTCGCCTGGTATACAGGAGCCATGGGTTCAGCCTCGAAGGGGCAAATACTCCCCCAGGCTGAAAACCTGCGTAGCTTCCAAAAAAGCTGACGAGATTTCTGGATGATGTGGTTGCAGGTGTGTATATACATGTCAAGAAAAGGTAAAGGTGCAGCCCTGCTACCACTTGATCACACGTACTATAGCTCTATAGTACGTGTGTTGCACTTCTTTCTCAACTTACAACCGCGCTAAGCGGAGGTGCGGGGGGGCGGGGTGAAAGACAAGAAACTAAACACAACAACAAGCAGTTCTAAAGAAATTAGTTCGTCAATCTAGATGATGATGATTTTAAAATGGCGTAGCTCCCAGTGGCTTCCTAATATCGAAAAGAAGAGCATTCCAGACGGCCCGCAGAAGCAGCATCTAAACAGAGAGCCGCGTGACGATGTGGTCACCAGCGTCCTTGTTCGACGGCCAAAACACTAAGATCTTCCCGAGCTTCTATTGCCCGTTCACTCAACAACCCCCCTCCTGGTTCGTAAATACAGAACGTCTCTCGTTGCCCACAATGTTACGCGACCCATTTATACGGCCGGGCGGGGAGAGGCGGCTGCGGGAAGACTGCCGCGCCGGGAGATCAAACCTCTGCATCGCCACTTCGGCGTGCTAACCATGAACACCGCAGCTGCGCCCAGGTATATAAATATGCCAGTCTGTACCCAAGTAAAAAAAAAAAAATCCACTTCACGATTAATTGTACGAATGTTTACCCACATCTGTAAAACTCTGGCTGTCCGCCTGATGATGCTGGTAGTTGTAATTACCGGCGAAACGTCACGTCTACTCGAATTGTCACCGTTGCTGTGGGTTTACTCTCCAACACACCACCGGTTAGTGCTGTACTAGTAACGAAATGGCCACGTTTTGCTCACGCGGCAAACTCCTTACCAATTGGCTGTGTCGGGCGGTGGAGGCGGGTTTAACGACACACTGACATTCACGCGATCTAACCCAACAAAACCTCTACTCTGGATCTGCAAAGCGTCCGTAATGTACGAATTGACCAAAGGCGCTCCCCCCCCAAAAAACCCCATCCTGTTGGCCGCGCCGCCCCACGTTAGCGGGGATGAGTTCCTCACGGTCGCCGGCGTCCGTGGGGGCCAGCTCATCCGTCTCCGCGCCCCAAGCCGCGTCCAGCAGCAGCTCCTCGCTCCGCGGCTCCTGGGCCCCCTCGGGGCTCACGGCTCCTCCGGGCGCCAGCGTCTGCTCTGCCACGGCTGCAAGGGAGCCCGGGGTCACACGCAAGGCAGTGGTTCGGCCGTAATGACCCCTCATAGTCAAAGTGTGTACAGTGTGTATGTTGAACGTCTTCCACACCGTGCGAAGGCAACCGTGCTATTCAGAGGAGCGGGAAAGGGGATAGGGACTTATTCTCAGGGTTCATAAACCGCCACGGTGGCTATGAGATGTTAACTACCACGCCTGGTATGCAGGTTGGTTGTGGGTTCGATCCCGACCATGACGCCTTCTCTGTATTTGGAGTTTGCGTGTCTCTCTCTCTCCCCGTGGTTGTGTGGTTTTTCTCCGGGTCCTCCAGTTTTTCCCCTCCACATTTAGAATCAACGTCACACGTTTAGACTATTCGGTTCGTTTGGCTGCAATACACCTCACATGTTCAGAGTATTTGGCATGCTGCTGCTATAAATTTGCACACGATGGGCCACTTTTGTTGAGCTGCTATCATTTGTGATAGCCAAGTCACACTTCTGAGTAAAGTGCTACATGGCAACTCAGTGGGGCTGGTAAACGAAAAAAAAACCCCAGCAGTTGATAGTTTTGTTTTGTATTCTTGGTTCTTTCGGTAAAGTCACGTTGAAGGGAAACAATAAAATATATATATATAAAACAATAATATATATTTTATTGTTTCCCTTCAACGTGACTTTACCGAAAGAACCAAAAATATGAATCACTGCAGTCACGAAAGCTTTAAATCAAAAGTTTTGTTTTAGTTTATCGTGGCGGAGAGGCTTCTGCGCCTTTTAACGATCCCGAGAGAGCGAAGCCGTCGGCAGCCTCGCGCTCCTGCCTAGGGGGGGGGGGGGGGGGGGGGGGCTTCGGTCCTCACCGTCGCGTTCGCCGTGGCCGTTGTCGCCGGCGCCGCCGTCTCCGTGGCGGACGGGCGGCGCGGCGCGGCGGCGCGCGTGCGACTTGCGGTGCTTGTTGAGGTTGGACACGTTGGAGAACTCCTTGCCGCACTCCTCGCAGGTGGTGCTGCGCTCGCGGGCCGTCCGCCGCTTGCGCTGGGCCCGCCTGGGCCTCCCTCCGCCGGCGCGGCCCGCCGGCGAGTCCGGGGGCCTCTCCGCGGGCCGGGCGGCGACTGCGGTCGTTACAGCGGCGGCAGCGGGGGCCGCATCACACAGAGCGACGCAGCGTCACGGCGCGTTGCTTCTCTACGTGGTCCCCCCCCCCCCCCTCGTGGTACGATGCACTTGGTCCGTCCATCATCGTCGATATCCCAAGCCTTTGGAGGTGCCGCGGGGGCGAGATGCTAACTACCTCGCCTGGTATACGGGTAGTGCGTTTCGTGGCTCTGATCCCGACTCTGACGCCTGCTGTATATTTGGAGTTTGCGCATCTCTCTCCACGTGATCACGTGGATTTGTCTCCGGGTCTTCCGCTTTTTTTTCCCCTCCAGATTTAGAATCAACATCACCACACGTTTACAGTATTTGTCTGCTGCTGCTGCTGCTGCTATACATTTCCACATAAGCAACTTTGTTGAGCCATCATTAGCTTTAGCCAGGGTCGCTTCTGAAAATAACCACATGGCAGCTCTGTGGGGCCTTACCTGGTAACGTTATACAAAATATACATAAATATATATTTATACCGCTGGGTCGACAAGAGGTATGGAGATTTAAGGAACTTGCTTAGCGTTTCAAATCCCACAGCGGAAAGTCAAATCGAAACGACATCCTCTGGATTGGCAAGTCCACGGTGTTAACCACGACACCTACAGCAGAGCGCCTGGGTACAAAATACCCAAATCTATACCTGAGTAAACCCCCCCCCCCACTTACCGACCACACAAATGTTTACCCACTACCGTAAAGCATCCGTTAACGTACGTTAACTACCTCGCCTGCTTTGCAGGAGGTCGTCAGTTCGATCCGAACCCCGACGCCTGCTGCTGTGTATTTGTAGCTTGCATTTTCTCCCTGTGGTCGCGTGCATTCTTCACCGGATCCTCCGATTTTTCCCTCCACATTTAGAATCAACGTCACACGTTTTAGAGTATTTAGCTCCTGCTACACATTTCCACACGATGGGCCACTTTGTTCAGCTGCTATCATTTGTGATCGACAGGTCGCTTCTGAAAAAAAAGCTACGTGGCAGCTCAGCAGGCTCTTACCTGGTAGAATAAAAATAGTTTAGCTTAGATTCAACATATGGCCACTACAAATGTCCACGTAATGATGATAAGCCACTTCGTTGAGCTATCATTTGTGATGGTCAGGGTCGCTTCTGAAAAAATAACTACAAAGCAGCTCAGCGGGGGCCTTACCTGGTAAAATAAAGCATAGTTTAGTTTCATGCAAACCCCATTGGACCGCGCCGCCCCACGCTAGCGGGGATGCGTTCCTTACGGTCGCTGGCGTCCGCGGGGGCCAGCTCCTCCGTCTCCGCGCCCCAAGCGACGTCCAACAGCAGCTCCCCGTCCGCCGGCGTCTGCTCTGCCACGGCTGCAAGGAAGCCGGTTTTTAACACGTAGCACGGCGGCGAAGAAGTTCGACAGAAATGACCCCACCAGTCAATGGGGGAGTAGACTTACCCCGTCATTCTATCAACAAGAGGCGGGCACACCATTCCCCCTTACCCAAAGTACATATGCTGAACTCCTTTCGCACGATAAAATTGCGCTTCGAACGCACCGCCGCCCCCACAACGCCCGCCCTCCGTTCGTCTAACAAACACGATTTCTCCCCACCATGAGGATTTTCAAGAAGGCGTCCGTCGTGCCGATCGGGGGCTTAGCTGTGTTTCGAATCCATCATCGAGTCCCGTTAAAAAGGGAAACGACCGTGAGGTTGTCACCTAAGTTTCCTGCCTTGACGTGCCCTCAAGTTTTAATCAGGAACAAAGCATGCATTTGTATGTATGTTGAACTTCTATCGCACCGTACGTAGCTAACCGCGCTAATCTGTGGGTCTCTATGGGTGTCTCTATGGGTCTGGGTGTCTGTGGGTCTCCGTGTGCACCGTACGTAGCCCACCGCGCTCATCGGAAATGCGGGGGAAGGAGAACAAACTAAACATCGACAACAACAAGCGCTTTCAAATCATCATCTAGTTTGACAAACTAATTTCTTTGGAACTGCTTGTTGTTGTTGTGTTCAGTTTGTTGTCCTTCCCCCTGCACCTCCAATTAGCGCAGTTGGCTATGTACGGTGCGAAAGAAGTTCAACATACACTACATACTACACTATACACTATGCTACACGCTACACTATACATTACTTTACACTACACTATGATACACTACACTTATATACACTCCACCACCACACTAAATTGAAAACTCCTTTCTTTAGAACTGCTTGCTGCTGTTGTGTTTCGTTTGTTGTCCTTCCACCCGCACCTCCAATTAGCGCCGTTGGCTCCGTACGGTGCGAAAGCAATTCAATGTACGTATGAATCTCCGCGCGATCCGTACACCCCCCCCACCCTGGCCTTCAAATCACGCCGAACTCACGACGGGCACGCGTGCGCCACCGCTGCCAGGTCCGTCCTCACCGTCGCCGTCTCCGTGGCGGACGGGCGGCGCGGCGCGGCGGCGCGCGTGCGACTTGCGGTGCTTGTTCAGGTTGGACACGTTGGAGAACTCCTTGCCGCACTCCTCGCAGGTGGTGCTGCGCTCGCGGGCCGTCCGCCGCTTGCGCTGGGCCCGCCTGGGCCTCCCTCCGCCGGCGCGGCCCGCCGGCGAGTCCGGGGGCCTCTCCGCGGGCCGGGCGGCGACTGCGGTCGTTACAGCGGCGGCAGCGGGGGCCGCATCACACAGAGCGACGCAGCGTCACGGCGCGTTGCTTCTCTACGTGGTCCCCCCCCCCTCGTGGTACGATGCACTTGGTCCGTCCATCATCACCGACATCCCAAGCCTTTGGGGGCGCCGTGGCGGCGAGATGTTAACTACCTCGCCTGGTACACAGGGGGCCTGGCAGTGACCGTGGGTGCAGCATGGCGGCAGCAGCATTGTCACACAACGCAACGGAGCGTCGCAGTGCATAAACAGCGTTGGGCGATTCCGAGCACCGTTCAAATTAATGGAACGGCCCTCGACGCCACGGTAGATAGGAGATGTTAACTACCTCGCCTGGTATGCGGGAGGTCGTGGGTTCGATCCCGACCCTGACACCCGCTGTATATTTGGAGTTTGCGTGTTCACTCTCCCCGTGGTTGCGTGCATTTATCTACGGGTCCTCTGGTGTTTTCCTTCAGATTTAGAATCAACGTCAAGCGTTTAGAATTATTTGGCTGCTATAAATGTCTAAGTGATGTTGAGCAATCACTGGTGATAGGGCCAGGTTGCTTCTGAAAAAAGAGCTAAATGGCAGCTCAGTGGCGCCTTCCCTGGTAAAATAAAAAACATTGCTTAGTTTAGTGCAAACCCCATCCTGCTGACCGCGCCGCCCCACGGTATCGGGGATGAGTTCCTCACGGTCGCTGGCGTCCAGCTCATCCGTCTCCGCGCTCCAAGCCGCGTCCAGCAGCTCCTCGCCCTGCGGCTCCTGGGCCCCCTCGGGGCTCACGGCTCCCCCGGGCGCCAGCGTCTGCTCTGCCACGGCTGCAAGGGAGCCCGGTGTACGCGCATCACCCCCATGCTGCTTTGTTTATTCATTGACTTCAGTACTTTGCTTCCAATGGGAAGATCAACTATTCAACTATTTGGTTTAACACGGAGGCTTTCGCGGCCAATATCATCCATAATGGAGGCTTTTTTGGGTTAGATCGTTATAAATGTATAAATGTGTGTCGTGAAAGACGCCACCACCCGACACAGCCAATTAGTAACGGCGTTTGTCACGTAAACAGAACGTGCCAATTCGTTACTAGTACAGCACTAACCGGTGTGTTGGAGAGCCAAGCCACAACATTTACAATCGTCCAGTCTCACCGTCACGGTGGCCGGTGTTAACGTCATCGTCGTCGCTGCTGTCGTGCCCGCCGCCGTCTTCACAGTCAACTGGGGCTTCGGGTTTCTCTGCCACGTGAGGCCAGAAGTCGGGGCCGGAATCCACTCCGTGCAGTCCCCCCGAGGGAACGGAACGGCTTCCCATCGCTCTCGAGTCCAGAGGGAAAGAAGCGCCACCAAACGATGTCAGTTTACGCAGAATCTTCACGTGCACAATAAAGCGGTTTGTTATACATTTTTTTGGGTTAGATCGCGTGAATATAAACATTAGTCACGCAAACAAAACGTGCAAATTCGTTACTACTTCAGCACACCGGCTGTGTGTTGGAGAGTAAACCCACAACATTTACAATTTGAGTACCGTGACGGTTCCCTGGTGATGACAACAACCAGGTTACTCATTGTTTTTTTCGGTAAAGTCACGTATGTAGAAATACAATAAAATTATATTGAAACAAAACAATCACGACGTTTCGATCACAACACAAGCGATCTTCATCAGGTGTCAAGAACAAATCATGGAGGTAAATACAACAAGATGAGAGGTTTGTTGAATTCTCTCATCTTCTTGTATTTACCTCCATGATTTGTTCTTGACACCTGATGAAGATCGCTTGTGTTGTGATCGAAACGTCGTGATTGTTTCGTTTCAATATAATTTGATTGTATTTCTACATACGTGACTTTACCGAAAAAAACAATTAGTAATTTTATGCAGTCACGAAAGCTTTAATACTTTATTACCAACCAGGTTCATTTTGCGATTTTCCACGGTGGCTACTACCTCGCCTGCATACCTGCAAACCCCTTATTGGTGCCCCTACCTTATTCAAGACCAATTGAGACCTTATCGGTCGCCCCGTACCATTATAAATCTCAACGTTCATCCTACAAAGTCCCATCACGAGGGAGAAACACAAATAGACACAAAAATGTTGTTGCCCGCATTGAAACGGCTGTACGCCGTATGGACCTGAAAACTCAATTTCCCTGTACAAGAATACGGGTAAACCGTGTGGGTTGACGGGTGCACCTGATATACAGGAGGTCGTGGGATCGATCCTGACGCTGGCGCTTGCCGTACATTTGGAGTTTACGTCTCTTTCTCTCTCCCCGTGGCCATGTTGATTTTTCTCCGAGTCCCCCGGCTTTTCACCTCAACATTTACAATCAACACGACGCATTTAAGAGTATTTGGCTGCAATACATTTCCAGAAGTGATGTGCCCACTTCTTTGAGCTATGATTTGTGATAGCCGAGTTGCTTCTGAAAGAGAGCTACACAGCAGCTCCAGTGCGCCTTACCTGCTAAAATAAAACGTTGTTTTGTCGTTCAGTTCATAGAATGTGGCCGAGGTCAAGAGGTAGCCGAGACCGATGCAAGCACAGAGAATGAGAATATTTATACCGGAGGAGAAATCCGATGAGCTATAAAGTTCTTTTAAAAAAAAATCACAGATGTTCTCGTAGGGTCACGCGGGGTCAGAACGTTTCAATATTCCAACCAACACACCTTGCCTTGGCTTTCCTCCTGCTGCTACGTCCCACCACCACCACCGCCGCCGTTGTTGTTGTTGTCGTGGTGGTTGTAGTAGTAAGGTCGACAACACCCAACCTCACCCTAAAATCGTCCAAAGTCATTAACTCTACTGTGGCAAACGTTGACTTTATGAACGGCTATACTGTCAATGTCCTTTTTACCACTCACCGCCCGTTATCTGTGCGCAAAAAAAAAGAGAATACATATATTTACGACGTGCAAATTATTTTCCGTCGCGCAGAGATGTGGACTTTTTGGTTTCGCTGAGAGAGAAATGTGTTGGGTAACTTTTATATAAAAAGCAAAATCCCCTGCGCCGAAACGTTTGGAACCGATTCCCTTTCAAACAAGGGGGGGGATATAGCGTAAGAATTCCATAGGAATGGCATAGGTTTATTAGGTACCTGGTAACAATTCCAATAAAGTTTCGGCCCAGAACTGTCAATCCACTGCTGGATGGTCTCCTCCCACCACGCCGTAATGAGTTATATTTTATTTTTTAAACCATACTTCACCACGCTGGTCAGTGCGGGGTTGGTGAGGGTCGGGACTCCATCGCTCACGGAATCAAAATCCGAGGTGGCTTCAAAAGCATGAAGTGTCAAACCACCTCGCCACCGCTCCCCTCCCAGTGGTATAATCCAGAATATTTATAGCGGAGGAATCCCATGAGATATAAAGCTCTTTTCTCACAGATCAAATTTACCCGACTCAATATGACAGTCTCTCTCTCTCCATCCTCCTGAAGTACTGCGACTTCTAATTTAATTAAAATGTGTAACTATATACAATACAAAAAATATAATAATTACCAGTAGCCAGGGTAAATCCACTGCCGACGGCCAAAACCTCGGCCGCCGATTTGACCTCACGTACAGGAGGATATCGCGGTCACAATAACAAACCTGTCAACCCCTTATCAGTGCCCTCCCGAATTGCAGACCAAGTCAGACCTTATCGGTCACCCCGTGCCCCTTATACATCTCAACGTTCATCCTACAAGGTGCCATCACAAGCAGAGAAACACAAAGAAATAGACAAATAATGTTGCCCGGATTGAAACGGCTGTACGCCGCATGGACCTGTCCCTTGAGAAGAGGTTTTCCCCTTTTTTTCCGGCAACAAAAACAGCTGTGTTGAGATGTTAAAGCACCAAACTGAAACCTTTTACAAGGAATCATGTCTGCATTAAACACATATACTTGTGGTCAGAATGCAAACAACAACAAAAAGCATCCTCTGATAATATATGCAGTATATATGCATTGTCTTTGAAACTGATTGGTCCACACCAATTTCCCTTGTACAGGAATACGGAGTCAACCATATGGGTTTACAGGTATGTTACTATACACGATACACTACTATAAACTGTTATACACTACACTACTATACACTACACTACTATACACTACATTACACTGTTATACACTACACTACTATACACTGCACTACTTCACACTGTTATACACTACTATACACTACTTTACACTGCTATACACGACACTACACTGTTATACACTACTATACACTACTTTACACTGTTATACACTACACTACTATACACTACACTACTATACACTACACTACTATACACTGTTATACACTATACACTACACTACTATACACTACACTACTATACACTGTTATACACTACACTATACACTACTATAAACTACACTACTACACACTATAAACTACACTACTATACACTACACTATACACTACATTATACACTACTATAAACTACTACACACTATAAACTACACTACTATACACTACACTATACACTACATTATACACTACACTACTTCACACTACACTACTATACACTGTTATACACTACTATACACTACACTATTATACACTACATTATACACTACTATATACTACACTATACACTACACTATACACTACTCTACACTACAATACGACATACCAGTCAACCCCGTGTCAGTGCCCCACCTTACTACAGACCAACTCACACCTTACTGGTCACCCCGTGCCCCCTTATGAATCTCAACGTTCATCCTACAAAGTGGCATCGTCACAAGGGGAGCAACATAACCAAATAGACACAAAACACCGTTAGCATTATTCATTTTGCCCCGTACTGAAACGGCTGGACGCCGCGCGGACCTCAGAACAAAACTCAATGTCCCTGGCACAGGAATACAGCTGAAACACCTAGGTGGGGTTGTCTCAGATGATGATGATGCAGCAGAGGTGCCAGGCGAGACGATATCCGTTCGATGACCCCCGTGCCCCCTTGACTCCGAAGTCACACGTGGCCCAGGTGGTCTCCAAATATTTGACAAGGGGAGTTTTAATTTAAAGCTTTCGTGACTGCAGTAATTCATATTCTTAGCTCTTTCGGTAAAGTCACGTTGAAGGGAAACAATAAAATAATAAAATATATATAAACAATAAAAATTCTCACGACGTTTCGACCATAACACAAACGGTCGTGATCAGGTGTGTCGGTTTGCAAACCGTTTGTGTTATGGTCGAAACGTCGTGAGAATTTTTTTATTGTTTTATATATATATTATTATTTTATTGTTTCCCTTCAACGTGACTTTACCGAAAGAGCTAAGAATAAGGGGAGTTTTAATTCGGCTGCTGCTGCTGTTGTGTATGTTGTTGTGTATGTTGTTGTTGTTGTGTATGTTGTTGTTCTTGTGTATGTTGATGTTCTTGTTTGTTGTCGTTGGCAAAGTCCCGTGAAACCAATTTAAGTGGGATAGCAATTAATGAACGTTCCCGGAACCAAGCAAATGCTGTGTTTGTATAAACAACAAACCCTGTCCAACAAAAAAACGAACAGCAGTTTAAATGTACCTGGCACTTTGTCGCCGCTCTCCTTACGTTAGCTGTGTTGTTGTTGCTGTTGTTGTTGCTGTTGTTGTTGTGTTAATTGTGACAATCGTGAGCGTTCGAAGGGCTAGGAAGCGCTGCTGCCTCCTTGCCGGGAATCGTCAGCAGCATGGAGCCACTGGAGTGACCACCACAACCACCATGGTGATGTCTCTGTGTGGTGGTGGTGGTGTAGTGGTGGTAGTTGTAGTGTAGTGGTGGTGTAGTGGTGGTAGTGGTGGTGTAGTGGTGGTAGTGATGGTGTAGTGGTGGTGGTGTAGTGTAGTAGTGGTGGTAGTTGTAGTGTAGTGGTGTAGTAGTGGTGGTAGTTGTAGTGGTGGTAGTTGTAGTGGTGGTGGTAGTGTAGTGGTAGTAGTTGTGGTGGTGTAGTGGTAGTGGTGGTGTAGTGGTGGTGGTGTAGTGGTGGTGTAGTGGTGGTGGTAGTAGTGGTGGTGGTAATGATGGTGTAGTGGTAGTAGTTGTGGTGTAGTGGTAGTAGTTGTGGTGGTGGTGTAGTGGTGGTGGTAGTGGTGTAGTGGTGGTTGTAGTAGTGGTGGTGTAGTGGTGGTGGTAGTAGTGGTGGTTGTAGTAGTGGTGGTGTAGTGGTGGTGTAGTGGTAGTAGTTGTGGTGGTAGTGTAGTGGTGGTTGTAGTAGTGGTGGTGTAGTGGTAGTAGTGGTGGTAGTGTAGTGGTGGTGTAGTGGTAGTAGTGGTGGTGGTTTAGTGGTGGTGTAGTGGTGGTGGTGTAGTAGTGGTGGTGGTGCAGTGGTGGTGATGTAGTGGTGGTAGTAGTGGTGGTGTAGTAGTGGTTGTTTTAGTAGTGATGGTGTAGTGGTAGTTGTGGTGGTGTAGTTGTGGTGGTGTAGTGGTGGTGTATGGTAGTTGTGGTGGTGTAGTGGTGGTGTAGTAGTGGTGGTTGTAGTAGTGGTGGTGTAGTGGTAGTTGTGGTGGTGTAGTGGTGGTAGTAGTTGTGGTGGTGGTGTAGTGATGGTGGTGGTAGTAGTTGTGGTGGTGGTAGTAGTTGTGGTGGTGGTAGTAGTTGTGGTGGTGTAGTGGTGGTGGTGTAGTGGTGGTGTAGTGGTGGTGCTTGTAGTAGTGGTGGTGTAGTGGTAGTAGTTGTGGTGGCGGTGTAGTGGTTGTAGTGGTGGTGTAGTGGTCGTGGTAGTAGTTGTGGTGGTGGTGGTGTAGCGGTGGTGTAGTAGTGGTGGTAGTAGTGGTGGTGTAGTGGTGGTGTAGTGGTAGTTGTGGTGGTGTAGTGGTGGTGGTATTTAGTGGTGGTGTAGTGGTAGTAGTTGTGGTGGTGTAGTGCTAGTTGTGGTGGTGGTAGTAGTAGTGGTGTAGTGGTAGTAGTTGTGGTGTAGTGGTGGTGGTGTAGTAGTGGTGGTAGTTGTGGTGGTGTAGTAGTGGTGGCGGTGTAGTGGTGGTGTAGTAGTGGTGGTGGTAGTAGTTGTGGTGGTGTAGTGGTAGTAGTGGTGGTGTAGTGGTAGTAGTTGTGGTGTAGTGGTGGTGTAGTAGTGGTGGTGGTGTAGTGGTAGTAGTTGTGGTGGTGTAGTGGTGGTGGTGTGGTGGTGTGGTGGTGTAGTGGTGGTGGTGTGGTGGGGTAGTGGTAGTTGTGGTGGTTGTGGTGTAGTGGTAGTAGCTGTGGTGTAGTGGTGGTAGTGGTGGTAGTAGTGGTGGTGTAGTAGTGGTGGTGGTGTAGTGGTGGTGGTGTAGTAGTGGTGGTGGTGTAGTGGTAGTAGCTGTGGTGGTGTAGTGGTGGTGGTGTAGTGGTAGTAGTTGTGGTGGCAGTGGTGTAGTGGTAGTAGCTGTGGTGTAGTGGTGGTGTAGTAGTTGTGGTGGTGGTGGTGTTGGAGTTTAAACGCGAGCAGTCGGTCTGCCTTGGCGGTGCTGGTGACGGTGGTGATGGTGACGTCACCCGCAGGAAGAGGGGGCGGGGCTAAGGAAGGAAGAGGAGGGGCTAACGGGAGGGGAGGGGCTAATGGGGAGAAGATGCGTGGTTCAGGCGTGGAGGTGTTAAGCGGCGGGGGAGGTTAACGTGGAAAGGGGTGGGGCTAGGGGTGGGGCTAAGGTGGCCCCGGAATCCGCGTCGATGAGCGCTGAGCCACTGAGCAGGCGGCTGCGCTTGTGACGTCGGTGGCGGCAGCTGCTCGATGCGGACCAGACGGCTGAGCTCGCTGCTCTATTTCTTGGGAGCAGCAGCATCAGCACCACCCTTGTTGTTGTGGTTGTTGTTGTTGTTGTTCACCAGCCACATTGCCCAATGTGGAGGTCCTCCTCCTGCTGCTGCTGCTGCTGCTGGCCACGACCAGAGGGCTCCAGAGAGAGAGAGCGAGAGAGAGGGTCCGTGTCGTTTCGCTGTTCCTCCTCTGTTGAAGGCGCACAGACCACGAGAAGTGGGGTTTACCATGCGGCCTGTAGTTTGTAGTTTCACGGACGTGGCCTCTTCTTTAACGCATCTCTACGGGTCTCTACGGCAGTATTTGCAACAATTGGGTTAGCTGCCAGGAGCTTCATGTAGACACGTGCAATACGAATGGCCACATCTCATGCTCCATTCTCATTGGTAGTAAAAAAAAAGGCTTCACAATTTTCGGCAACGTGAACAGCCCGGATATGGTTCCTGCTGTTTTTTTTGCTGTGTTTTTTTTCCGTTGCGTGTAGTCACTTTAAGATGTTTTTTTCTTGTTCATGTTTTTGTTTTGTTGCGGTTGCACCCGAGTCAAGAGCCGCATGGCTCACAGGGTTATTATTATCTAATAAATGAAATACATAAATGAAAAGTGAAATATCAATACGTATTTTCAAGTGAGGCAAACATGAATGTTCACAGTGATGTTGAGAAAGAGTGATTTGTAGTGCAATTTAGCCATACTTGACACTCAATATTTGGGCATGGTAATGCCATTATTACTACTATAATAGCCCAGAAATGTGTGTAACGCGCGTAACGTCACTCCACATGCCCCGCCCCCCCCGTCATTATTAATAAAATAATCATGAGCGGGTAGATTTTTTACACTCACGCGGAAGGTCGAGTGGAAAGATATTTTTTTCGCAAAGTCGCTTCAAATATGCCGACGTTTCTTTACAGAAAGTGACGGTCAAAAATACATCAACGCAGCACGTGACGTGACGTCACTGCAAAAGAGCCCCCCCGTCGTTACTATCATAAGCAATCATTTTTTTTAACACAAATTCGCCGTTTCTTTATTGAAAGTTACTAAAATAAATAACTCTGCGCAGACGTTTATTTGTGTAAATATTACAGCTTCCATCCTAGGACGGGCAAAAGGCTAGTAATGATCATAATTACATAGACGGCTCCATCCTGAGGGAGCACCATCAAGCCCACACAAGCCTCTACACCAGTGGTTCTCAACTGTGTCGTACCCCGTTGCCTGACCCAACATGGTTCTGGGAAAGAAATGTATGAATAATGAACATCAATATTTTTTTAATAGTCTTTGGTTCTTTCGGTAAAGTCACGGAGGTAGAAAAAAATCATCGATCACGACGTTCTGATAGCAACACAAGCGATCGTCATCAGGTGGGACAACCAGAGCAAAAAAAAACCCGACTGTTCCACCTGACTTGATTTGGTATGCTTCTCTCTCTGTGTCCCCTGTTGTATCTGTGTTAGTTCCCCCTACTTGTGTGTCTGTGTATACATCTGGGGTTATGTGTTTCCCCTCTCTCGTAAATTGAGCTCTTCTGTACCTGATGATGGCTGCTTGTGTTGCAACCGAAACGTCGTACGCTATTATGTTATTTTATTGTTTCTTATTTATACGTGACTTTACCGACAAAAAAACAAAGAGTGAGACTGTCCCACCTGATGACGATTGCTTGTGTTGCGATCGAAACGTCGTGATCGATTATTTTTCTACCTACGTGACTTTACCGAAAGAACCAAAGAGTATGGATTCCTGAAGTCACGAAAGATTCAAAGCAAGATCAATATATATTTTTTAACCAATTGTCAATTTTTTTTAGGTATATCATAACCGGCTAGTAACTGCAAGCGATTAAACAAAAAATGTACGGACGCTCTGTCCGCGCTCGCTGGCTTACTCTTGGAACCCCGCATTGTGTACGATCAATGAGTTTACAAATGTATTTGATATCGTTCTAGGTTACCATATGGATTCACATTTTCTATTGCAGTAATTTAATATTGCCAGATTCATACATGATTATTCACCAATGACTCTCATGTGATATAATTTCACATTTATAAATCACCTCACATACCCCCCCCCCCCCCCAGTGGTTATCAACCGCTGCTCTACAGGACATTTCTATCCTGGTTCCATTCTTACCTCTTAAACCACTCCTTCTGTGTCTCCATACAAGGTCTATCTTCTTCTCAGAAACTCCTCTGCCATGGTGTTCCACGAGGTTCCATCCTTAGCCCTTTGCTTTAATAATCTACCACCTTCCAATAATGCAATGATCTCTAACTTCAACATTGAATACCATTGCTAAGGTGATATCACACACTTCTACACACACTTCAACTCCACAGACCCCACGCCACTGACTACTGGCATAGCATGTATTGATGAAGTCTCATTTCTATATAGAGCTAAACATTCCAAAAAAGGAAGTCCTCAAAGCAAAAAAATATCCGGACTAAATAAAAAAATATAATTCATGCCTGCCACTCTTTAACTTTGACATTAAATCCAGTCTCATTCCTAATTTTAGCTTGTGTCCATGCGCTTTAGAAGGATTGATTTATCGCAGGGCCATGAGAGATGGAATGGAAAGTCCTTCACCCATCGGAATCGATGGCTGATGATCTCTCTCGTTCGTATGGCTGCTGATGTAGATGGAGAGCAACAACTACAAATTCACATTGTGTCGTTAATTTCCCATTTGTGCATCAGGCATCTGCTGCCGTGGTTTGTGCAGCGGATGTGGTTTAGGGTGGACCATGAGCTTCGTGGACGATCAAACCCAGGGATCTTCCACGTTGGGTCTTACAAAGGGTGTTTGCGAGTTCATTTGACCTCCATTACACTCTCCAGGCTTCATCAGAGTTGAATTCGCATTAAGGTTAGGCGCATGGGTCCAAAAGGGCTCGCGTGATTTCAAGCGATGATGAGGGACGTTATTGAGGTCCTGATGGATGGGAAGGCGACTGGTTTCCTCGATTCGCAGGACTTCCCAGAGGGTTGCAGCGTTGCGGCGGATAGGTAGGGGAGAGATGTGACAGCAAGGGCAGCCGGGGTATTAGAGTCGACTTGAGGGTTCTTGTGATACACCACCGCATTGCAGTGTTCAGTTGGACGAGTGGTGACTACTTCTGGCCCATACTGGTGCACAGTACTCGGCTACAGAGTACCCAAGGGCCATCGTTAAAGTTCGCAGCATTGGGTGCTGATGCTCCCCAGCTTTTGCTTTCCAGTTTCTGGACCAGGTTGACCCTTGTTTTGGTCTTAGCAGCTACCGTTTGTAGGTGTTTGTGGAAGGTTAATGTACGGTCACAGCTTCACTCCGAGATAGGTTGGGGTGGGGTTGTGTTGCACAGTGTTACCACAGGTCACTTTCGGAATGCAGTGACTGTTGTTTTGTGGGGATTTGGCTCGAGGCTCCATTTCCGTAAACATGGTGTTTAGGTCTCGGGTCAGAGTGGATTCCATTGTCACGTAAACAAAACATGCCAATTAGTTACTCGTACAGCACACCTGTGTGTTGGAGAGTAAATTCACTACAACATTTACAATTCGAGTACCGTGACGTTTTGCCAGTAATTATAACTAGCATCATCAAGCGACAGCCAGAGATATGGAGAAATCCTCTTCCTGTTTCGGTCTTAAGTAGAGCGGATAAATGTGATGTCATCACTTGTGAGCCAATCAGATGTGAAGGCCAGAGGGGGGGCGGGGTTCATTTATGAATATGAATTACAATATATATTCATTACCAGTTTGATTATTAATATGGTAATCAACATACACTCTGCATGCACACCCTCTGCTTGTACATCCTGCCGTTTTTGGGTGCCAGATTTTGCAATAGCTGTTCTTGTCTGCTCACAGTTAATCACCATCGATGTATGGCAGCCGTATTTTTGGCGACTTTTTTTAACATGTAAACTATTTTTTATTATGATTCATAATACATAGTATAGTAGTCTATGTATTATAGATGCGCAACGGGTTACTGAGCATCCTGTTTAGGTTCAGTACCACGTTACGATCCACTGTTCCATCTACTCCTACTTACCTACTACTAGTAGGTAGTAAGTAGTAGTAGTAGTACTCCTCGTAGGAATTTTTACTACAGATGGGAGTGGATCATAACGACTCGTACTAGTACCTACTACTGTAGAAGGTACTAATACTTGTACTACTCGTAGTAGGTACTACTCATACTCGTGGGTCCTGTACATGTTACAATCCACCATCCCAACGTCCCATATCTTTGCTTCGATTTAAGTACTTTCGATTTATGTTGGGCTCTTCAGGAACTCATCCTGGGCGTGAGCCGGGGTATGGCCTGTACGGTCACGCAGTAAAAATTGCGCAGTCTGATGGTGTGAAACCAGTCTCAGGACACGAGCGAACTCATCTTCACTGAAGCGTAGAGGGCAGGCTGACCAGGTTGGTGCTTTAGGTCCAAGGTTACCAGGGGCAACGTTTAAGTGTTGTACATTCATTTATTCCACCCCCCCCCCCCCCAAATCTCCAATACTATCTCCTAATGGACCGCTTTTACTTTGCCATGTCCTTAGCAAATATTTGGTCTCCGGAAAATGATGGTAATTCATGACCACGGCAGGTCTGTCTTGGTGCGAGGATGAGTGTGTCTCCAGCATTTTTTATTGTGCCTTTTTTGAAAAAAGTAATTGACAGCCATGTGAATAAGTAAAACACACGTGTTTTATATTCCATTTAAACAACAACAAAAAATGAATCGATTATTTTATGAGGTCAATTGCGTAGCGTCTGATAATGGGAAACTACAGTGGAAAGCAATCGTTACTCCAAATGTCACGAGGTCTCTTACAAGGCACGCGCAATGCTTACAAAGGTACGTTTCTCTCTCGTCTACAGTATTTGCTTTAACAACACCGTAGTTGACAAATGATGGTGAAGTACTTTCAGGCTGCACGCAATTAGTTTTGCTTAACCCATTGTACTTGACATCCCATGGGACATTCTGTAAATGATCACAAACAGCCAATGTATACTCCATACTTCACATTCTTTTGGCGAAATATTCAAACGTAATACCTTCTGACACAATTTTTTAGGGGTGATCGCTGTGTCTTTAATTGGAGGCAAGGTAGGGTTCACCCCTGTTACATTAAGTATTCCTTTCCTCTATGAGACCTCCTTTGCCAGTAGCAAGATATAGTAATAGGTTTTTACCCTTTTATCTGGCACCAAAACTGACACCTTTATACAAGGGATCATGTTTGCAATAACCACAACACAAGCAGTCAAAATGCAAACAAAAAGAGACAACTCTGATAATGATATGCACTGTCCTTGAAATTGATTGGACCACACCCGAGACGGCTTTTCTTAGGGCCTAGTCTCCACTGGTGTTGGACCAAATTACGCCTTTTGGCAAATGACGCCTTTTGGCGTCTTCTGGTCCAACACCAGTGGAGACTAGGCTCTAAGAAAAGCCGTCTCGGGTGTGGACCAATCAATTTCAAGGACAGTGCATATCATTATCAGAGTTCTCTCTTTTTGTTTGCATTTTGACTGCTTGTGTTGTGGTTATTGCAAACATGATCCCTTGTATAAAGGTGTCAGTTTTGGTGCCAGATAAAGGGTAAAAACCTATTACTATTCCTTTCCTCACCCAGTCTGATGAATTGTCACAATTCAGGACCACAATTTCAAGCAAGAATAGTTTTTTGTACGTTTTTTTACCATTTGTTTCCATTTTCATTTCCCCCCCTCCCCCCCATCCCATTTCAAAGTTTTGTTCACTCTGTTCGGTTGCCTATGCACCGGTACAAAAGAAGTTCAACATGCATACACACGCATTTAAAATGCTACTTTATACACACATCGTCAACCTTAGAAATCAAGAGTGGATCACATGACCCAGCACTACCCTCCCACAAAACTGACTCACAGAGTGGGTCACGTGACCCACTCTGTGAGTCAGTTTTGTGGGGGGGGGGGTAGTGCTGGGTCATGTGATCCACTCTTGAGTCAATGGTGTGGGGGGCTGCAGCGATAATGTCCGTTTGTTTTTAAACAGTCTTCTATCAACTGAAGGTGACCGAATCTTGCCACGAATATCCATAAACTGACGGCATCATTACACGGCGACTATTGAAATTTGGCGGCTGCCTTTTTACATTATTTGCGCACTTTTCCCACGCTTTGCAACCGTTCCCAGGTCGCCCGCTTTCCGAGACCACCTGAAGTTTCTTCCGCCCCTGCATTCTGAAAAACGGCTTTCGTACTCGCGTCAGAACTTTATTTTACCGGCAGAAATGACAATTTTTTTTTGCTGTAGCCTGCAAATCCGCCGCATGTTTTCGAACGGGCTTATACCCGCACGTGCTGCCAGCGCAATTCGGCCGTGGAGCAAACTGCCTAGGCCCTGGTCAGCCTCGCTGCGACTTCCCAATGCTCTCTGGGTAAGGGTGCCCGCTGTGCGCACGTACGTTGAACTTCTTTCGCGTCGTACCTACGTAGCCAACTGCTCTAATCGGAGGTACGGTTAGCGCGGCTTGGAGGACGGCTCGCTGATGGTGGCGATGTGTGAACTTCAATGTTTTTTCGGGCATCCGTCTTCCTGTTTTGCAAGGAAACACAACTGCCTCCTCCTGGCACCACATTCATTTCCCAGCGGGTACGTGTCCCGAGTGCATCACGATAGCGTGGCGCAGCAGTACTTATTCAATTAAGTGTGTATACATAAATATGAACAGTTTTCGGCACGGCACAGGAGACGTTTGTTACTCTTTCCTGCCGTGACAGCGCATCTCTATGTTACGCCCGCCCCTTCGGTGGAGCCACCTGTGGTGGATTAAAGAGCAGCGTGCGGCTCGGGGAAAGACGCCGGTTGGCCACCGCTGCTCCCGACCTTCACACAGTTGAACGGCGACTCTGGACCAGGCTTCGTCCGGATTTGAGACATTCGTTGCGATCACTGGCAAGTCCCAAGTTCCATACCCGCTTCCGCTATCGGTGCCGCCGCATCTCCACGAGGCTGCTGCTGCTGCTGCGCGGGAGCCTTGGGCGCGGGCCGATGAGTCGCCCGGTGCCTCTTGAGGTTCGCCGACTGCGAGAAGCGGCGGCCGCACTCCTCGCACGCGTACGGCCGGTCGCCCGTGTGCGTGCGCAGGTGCGTCTTGAGGTTGGAGGGCTCGGCGAAGCACACGCCGCACTCCTCGCACACGTACGGCTTCTCGCGGCTGTGCACGCGTTTGTGCACGCGCAGCGACGAGTGCCACGTGAAGCCCTTGCCGCACTCGTCGCAGAGGTACAGCTTGGCCGCGTGGATCTTCTGGTGCTTCTTGAGGCGGTAGACCAGCGTGAAGCCCTTGCCGCACTCCTGGCACACGTGCGGCCCGCTCGCCCGTGTGCTTCATCTGGTGGCGCTTGAGCGCCGACAGCCAGAAGAAGGCCTCGCCGCACTCCTTGCACACGTGCGGGCGCACGCCCGAGTGCAGCTTCAGGTGGCACCCGAGGCCGTGCAGCTGGGCGAAACGCTTGCCGCACACGGCGCACGGGTAGGGCCGCTCCCCGCTGTGGATCTCCCGGTGCGTCCTGAGCCGCGAGCTGCTGACGAAGCCCTTGCCGCACACCTCGCACGCGTGGGGCCGCTCGCTCGAGTGCGTCCTCGCGTGCTTCTTCAGGTCGGAGAGACGCAGGAAGTCACGGCCGCATTCCCCGCACGCGTGCGGTCGCTCGGTGCCGCCGTGCGCGCCGCGACGGTGCCGGGCCAGCAGCGAGCGGAACGGGAAGCCTTGCCCGCAGTCGTCGCACGCGTGAGCGTGCTCCCGCCGCTTCTCCGCGTCCGGCGCTGCCGGCGCCGCCGGCGCCGCCGGCGCCGCCGCGCTGCCCTCGTGCAGAGCCTCGTCCGGCCGTGCTGCCGGCCCCGCCGATGACGGCGGCGAGCCCCGGCGCTCCGCGACCGCGGGACGCGGCTCCCCGGCGTGCACGCGCCGGTGCCTTTGAGCTCCGAGGCGCGCGCGAAGGCCTTGGCGCACTCGCCGCACGTGTGCGCCTTCAGGCCGCCGTGGGCCCACCGGTGCTTACTGAGGTGGGAGGCGCACGGGAAGCCCTCGCCGCACTCGTCGCACACGTGCGGGTACTCCCCCGAGTGGACCTTGCGGTGGCGCGACAGTCGGTAGAACGTCTCGAAGCCCCTGCCGCACAGCTCGCACGGCGGCGGCTTGTCGCGCGCGTGGATCTTGGCGTGCTTCCTCAGGTTGTCGGCGAAGGCGAAGGCCTTGCCGCACTCCGGGCAGACGTGCGGCCGCTCGCCCGCGTGCGCACCCCGGTGCGCCGCCAGCTTCTCCGGCGTCGCGAAGCCGCGCCCGCACCGCCCGCAGACGTGCGGCCGCGCCGTGCCGTGCGTCCGCCGGTGCTTCGTCAGGTCCGAGGGCTGGTAGAAGGCCTTGCCGCACTCGCCGCACACGTTCTGCCGCTCGCCCGTGTGCGTGCGCCTGTGGCGCTTCAGGTAGGAGAGCCACCGGAACTCTTGGCCGCAGTCGTCGCACACGTGCGCCCTGCTTTTGGCGTGCGACGTCGGACGCCTCTCCAAGTCCCCGTTTGCCGGCGATGCTTCGCCGGAATCCCCGCGCGCTCGGGCGGGTCCTTCGGCGGAGGGGGGCGCGCACAGGCGCTCGACCACCTCCCCCGGCGCCCTCGCGCTCTCCCCACGCGAGCAAGAGCGCTCGCCGACCCGCGTCGCCGCCTGGCCCTCGCCGCCGAACCCCGGAGGCCGTGAGGCCGGCTCGCCTCGCCCGTCGCCAGCGCACCGTCTTCCACGGGAGGGCTCCTCGCTTTGGCGTGCGATGGACGCCTTCGGGGGCTCCTCGCGCTCAAGGGGACCGTCTCCGCTCCGCTCCTCCCCGTGCCCCTTCCGCTCGGGGGGCTTCGCAACTTGCCCCCCAGCATTTTCTCCGCTCGCCAACGCTCCTGCCGCTCCCCCCACCCCGGGCTCCTCGTTGCGGTGCGCGCCGACGACCCGCCCCCGTGCGGCCGGCTCCCTCGGCCGCCTCGTGCGCGCGTTCGGCCTCCCCGTGCCGTGCACCTTCTGGTGCCTCCTGAGATCGGACGCCTGCAGGAAGGCCCGGCCGCACTCGGCGCACGCGTGCGGGCGCACGCCCAGGTGCGCCCTGCGGTGCCGGTTGAGCGAGGAGGCGCAGGCAAACGGCTGCCCGCACTCCGTGCACACGAGCTCCCTGGAGGCGTCGCGCGGCCCCTGCCGCCGCCGGTCGTCCCCATCCGGCGTCGCCGCCGCCGCCGGCGGCGGCGGCTCGCTCTCCTCCAGAACGGCCGGCCGAGAAACCGCGCCTCCCGACGCCGTCGGCGCCGGCGCCGAGGCCCGCGGCGGCCCCGGTCGCTCGGTCGCATGCAGCCTCCGGTGCCTCCTGAGGTCCGAGGGCTGGGAAAATCCCTTGCCGCACTCGGCGCACGCGTGCGGCCTGTCGCCCGTGTGCGTCCGCCGGTGTCGCGTCAGGTAGGAGAGCCACCGGAAGCCCTGGCCGCACTCGCCGCACACGTGCGCTCCGCCGCCGTTCCCACCGCCGGCCCCGGGTGCCTCGCGCCCCTCGGCGCCCGTCGGCGAGACGCCTTCGCGACCGTCGCGACCGTCGCCCGCCCGCGTCGCGCCGTCGCCGGGGGGAGCGCCCACGCTGGCGGGCGGGAGGCTCGTCCGGCGCCGGCAGAGCCGCCGCGCGTCGCTTGGATTCGTGGCGTGGGGGCACCTCGACCGCCTCGCTGTCGAGGGGCTCACCTGGCCGTGGCGAAGCCAGCGTCTTTACGTCGGCGAGCTCCGCGATCAGAGCAAAGCCCCTCCCGCGCGCCTCGTCGCACACGTCCAGGCGCCCGTCCCCTCGAGTGCCCTGGTGCGACAAACGCGGCGAGACCCCCTCCCCGCTTTCCTCCCAGGGCGGTGGCCCCCGGCCGTTGGGCGCCTCGGGGTCCGGTGTCTCCCTGTCGTGAATCCCCAGGTGCTTCTTGAGGTTCGACGACCGGTAGAATCCCTTGCCGCACCGCCCGCACACGTGCGGCCGCTCGCCCGTGTGCGTCCTCCCGTGCCTCTTCAGGTACGACGGCCACCGGAAGCCCCGCCCGCACTCCCCGCACACGTGCGCCCGGCCGGCGCTGTCGTCGCGCCCCCCGCCATCCCCCGCCGCGTCCGTCGGCTTCGTCGCCCCCGGCGCGTCGGGGCGAGCGTTCGGCTGGCGCCCGCGGTGCCTGCGGAGGCCCGGGGGCCGGCGGAAACGTGCGGCTGCGCTCGTCGCGGGCGCTCGTCCTCTCGCCCGCGTGCCGGTGCCTCCTCGGGCGCGGCTGGCACGGGAAGCCGGCGCCGCGCAGCTCGCCCGAGGGGATCTCGCGGCGGCGTGACGGCTTGCTCGCCGAGGGGAGCGCGCCGACGTGAGACGCCCGGTGCCCGACAAGTTCCCCGTGCGAGGGGAACGCCCGGTCGCAGGCGTCGCACAGAAAGAGAGTCGTCGCCGTCGTCTCTTCGGCCGCGGCCGCCCCGCCTCCGGCTCCCTCCCCCGGCTGCGCTGACGCCGACTGGCCCAGCGGCCCGCGCGCGTGTCCCTGGCGGTGCCGGGCCAGCTCGCGTTGCCCCGAAAACACCTCCCCGCACTCGGCGCACACCGCGCGCGCCGCGCCCGAGGGACGGCGGCGGCGGCGGCGCCGAGGGCCGGAGGGTTCCGGAGCCACGAGCACGTGCCGCCGCTCGTGGCTCCGGAGGTAGCAGAGCCAGGGGAAGCCCCTGCCGCAGACCCCGCACCAGCGGCGCCGGTCCACGGCGCTCGCCCGCCGAGGGCCGGCGCGGCCGCCGTCGGCCGTCGGTGACTTTGGGCGACGCGGCTGGCGGCGTGATTGGCAGCGCGTCCGCCGATCGCGGCCCGGGGTAAAGATCCGGCCACGCTCCCGGCACGGACGCTTAATGCCGTGCAGCTGCCCGTGCCTGCGCAGGCCACCGATGCTGACGAAAGTCTTGCCACAGTCGAGGCACGGGTGTAGCTGCCTCTTGCTGCGTCCTGCCAGTGATGGGGGGAACGAGAGAAATGACGATTCCTCAACCCCAGTGGTTCTCGACCGGGGGGTGGAGTATGCGGACCCCCTGGGGGGGGGTGCGCGTGGCAATGTCCCAGGGGGTATAGTGAGGCCATTTATAAATGTGCGAAATTATACTGTACGCGAGAGTCATTGGTGATCAATCATGGATGCGAATCTGCCGATGTAAAATGGTCGAGCTATCATTTGTGGCCAGGTCGCTTCTGAAAAGCAGCTGCACGTGGCTCAATTCCGTAGCACTCACCACCGGCGGCGCCGCCGCCACCACCGCCGTCATCACCGTCGCTGTCCTCCAGCTCCACCTCCACCTCGGCCCAGCCCTGGGAGGAGGCGCCTCGCTCTCCCCGCGAGTCCCCGCTCACCTCCACCGCATTCGCCGTGTCAACTCCTCCGACCTCCGAGCCTTGAAAGGGGCCGAGGGTTGGAGGGGACCGCAGTCGGAATACTGGTTTACACTTGACATCTTATTCACAGATGTCCAGTTGTGGCGGGTAAGAATGTTGCAACAACAAACAACACAAGGAGACGATAGGAATGCAGAAGCGCATCTGAAAGCACGTGATGATGCGGTGACCGACTCTGTATGATGGCTAGCCAAAAAGCCGCCGCCGCTGCGGGGATGACCGGAGTTCGCGTGACGATTTAAAGCTTTCGTGATTGCAAGGATTCATCTTCTTTGGTTCTTTCGGTAAAGTCACCACGTAGAATGAGAATAAAATAATAAATTAATAAAATTAAATAACACAATAAAATTCTCACGACGTTTCGGCCACAACACAAGCGGCCTTTATCAGGTGAAGGGACGAGACTCCAGCGCTGTCCTCCAGACAGTCTCGTCCCTTCACCTGATGAAGGCCGCTTGTGTTGTGGCCGAAACGTCGTGAGCAATTTGTGTTATTTTATTTTATTAATTTATTATTTTATTCTCATTCTACGTGACTTTACCGAAAGAACCAAAGAAGATGGTTCATTTGTGGAAAGCACTTTGCGTGGTGTAACGGGCGCGACCTTATCATGTTGAATGGGCGGCGGGGGTTCGGAGTTCGAGGGAGGGGAGGGAAGCAAGCGGTCTGCGTGTCCCCTCTCTCACCTACGGTCTCCTCCTGCTCCTCGCACTTCACGATAACGGCCGCCTGCGCCTCGGGGCGCGACTCCTCTTCCCTTTCCTCCTTGATGAGCAGCGACACTTCTTCCTCTCGCCCAGGAACACGCGCAACAGCAGCAGCGCCAGCAGCACCAGCAGCCGTTGCTATGTCCATGGCAACGCGATGCGTGGGGGCTACAGCAGAGGTTGACAACCTTTGGAAGAAGAGACAT